TCTGAAGCTTCTTACAATCAAAAGATAGTATCGAGAGGAATATTTTTATTAAATTTTTTCCTCATTTTTGTTGAGCCTGCGATTAACAGCAAAAGTAGGCGAGACACTGGGTTCCGCGGAACCCTTACAATTTTTTTTCTTCATGACTGAACATATATCGACATCGCAGTTGTCTAGCAAATTCACTGTAGTCTTTTAGTATAGACATTTTTGTATTTTTGCTTGATGGCATTGGTATAAATTTCAAGCCTTTCGCCAACAGGATATATTCCTGATTTGATAATTTGCGTTTTAATAGATTAACTACATGCTTTTTTGCATGTGCAGCTCTTTCCTGCATATAATATTCATTCCGTTCTTTTTTTTATTGTAGAATTGGATTTTTTGCTTTTTAGCATTTCTATTAAAACGACGTGTCATCTGTGAGTTCACATTGGGTGATTCTCTTAGCTACGTCCCTTTGATGAGCTCACATTTGGTGGCTCACGCTTATCTCTACAGTAACTTTTTATTTGTTACAAACGCTTAGTTATATATTGGTTATTCCAGAGACATGTAGATTAAAATTTAAAGGTCTCTGGATAATTCTGAATGATTAACTTTTCTCTGTGAAAAAGTCCACATCCTTGACATCCATATACAACAACGCACAACATGTATTTACGAATGTTGTATACAAAAATGGGTTTGGGAATGAATTAATGATTTTTTGGGATATTTCAAAATAGTTTTAGGGATACAGGATATTTGTAAAAATAAATTATTGGGATATTAGGGATAAACATTAAAGGGATATGGGAAATTGGGACAAAAACTTAATGGGATATGGGATATTGATACCCCCCTAAACAAGCCTCAAAAATAGGGGTACAGCAGTCAATATTGTGTTATAATCTTAATCACTATAAAACAAACAAATATGTAACAAAGAAACACAAAAAGGCATTTAGACAAAGCACATTAGCAAAAATGAAAGACAAGAATACAAAAATTTACCATAGCACAATAACACAATGGCGGGATGTATAAGTACAAATAAAGTTCCACAATGTCATATCAGAAATTTAGAAAAAAAACTAAAAGGATGTTATTTTAATTGATTTAAACCAATCACCAAAGATTCAATTGTACGAAACTGGAAAATCACCCCTTTTTAATGAATAAATCCCAATAACTCGTAAACGTAAAATCTAAAATTCATAAAAAATCGAAAGGGAGCTCACATCAATAGATATAAACAATTCACCAAAGTTTCTTGCAAATTGGTGAAAGTGTTTTTGAGTTATTGTCTGAAAACTGGAAAATCCCCCTTTTTTAATGAATAAAACCCAATAACTTGGAAAAGTAAAATCTAAAATGTATAAAAATCAAAAGGGAGCTCACTTCAATACATATAAACAATTCACCAAAGTTTCTTGCAAATTGATTGAAGTGTTTTTTAGTTATTGTCTGACATGTTGACGACGGACAATGGTATACCATAATACATCCCATTAAGAGGCGTATAAAAAATATTTACAAAGATAAAATTTATATGGCCCGAGAACACAGTTATTTCGTAGTGCATTTCTTTTAGACAATAAATGGAAATTAAAAAAATCCCACCTGTGCTTTCTCAACAATATTTTTACAGTGTGGTGTACTACTTTCGGGACAAATTATATATATCTAACAATAGAAAACTTTATCAGCTCTAACTCAAAATATGGACAATTTATGTTAAAGGGTCTTGAATTCTTTTGACAGCTTCCGAAAAAAACTAATTTTTAACCTTTTTTAGCTGGACCAGATCACTACTTTACATGTACTTTAAAACTCATGACCCAAATTTTTTTACAGTGTAGTTTCATCCCCCTACTTGCTATTTGAGGCATAAAACATGAGGAAATAAATTTGGAAAGGGTATAAAAAAATGGCAAGTAACACACTGTCCATACTAGGGACTATATTTGTAGACAACAAAAATCAAGGGACGATAACTGTGTTCCAGGATCTAATATGTTTTTACATGTAGTTCATAACTATTAATGAATTTTATGAACAATATATGAGCTGCTTTTGATAGAAATCGACCTTATGTAAATGAATATTATATAAATATATATGAACTTCTGTTAAATCATTTCGGGTTGCAAAAATCTCTATGCAAAGGCTGTAACTGTTTGAAAAGTGAGTTGACATAAGAACCTTACAATACAGACCCAAATCAATCTTTATTTCGTATATAATTGTCCAAAAATCAATCAAAGTTTTCTACACGTACATGTGTAGGTGCACTTGCATAAGATCGATTTCTATCCGACGCCGCTCATATATTAAAGGGGTCGGAATGACCTTTATTGTCAAGTCAATCACAAGCCCCTTTTCTGTCAACTAAATGAACTTAATCTTATATCGTCATTTGTCAAATCACACTAAATTGAGCTAATGTTTTGAGTCAAACAAAGAAAAATGCTTATTATTAATGGTATTTTAATAAAACAAAAATACTGTAATTAGTGATGAACATGGGTAAATCCCTTTTGGGATTCTGAGTTGAGAACAATTTTCTGAATCACTAAATTGAATAAAAAATATTTACTTTGATTCAGCATGTTCAGAATCTCAAAAGGGATAAGTGATGTTGGTAGTTGGTGAACAGTTGCTCTAATGGTCCTTGTAATAGTTTTTTGACAATTTGCAGACAATAGGTAAGTCCTCAAATTGTCCAAAAAATATTATATGATAAGGACCATTTATGAGCTACCTTTCAGTAGCAATGATTTTGGGTGTCCCATGTAATATCCTATCCTCTTGTTTAAAGATTTTACCAAGCTGTAAATGAGCTGTTCATGGTCATGTTCCCTCCCCTGACTCACTGTCAGACTATATGATGTATGAATTAACATTATATGTAATAGTCAATTATTATTCTATCCATCTTGTATAGGGAAGGATTTCTATAGACTGAGCCTTTATCCAATCCCTTTGTTTGAATATATTTAAACAATAAAATCTTTGAATTGATTTGATAAAGTCAGACCACTATAAAACACAGTTGTTCATTAGAAATTCACTAAATACTAACGACTACTAAATAGAGTTTAATGGCGACTAACCTTGCGGGTATTGGGCCAGATTTCCTTATTATATAAAAATATATTTAAATAAAAAAATTTTAATTTAGGATTAATTAGGGATTAACCTGTGTTTTATATTCATATTATAGTATATTGTGAGTTTTTTCCCAACTTTATTTATATCTTAACTTTTATGTTTATGTAATATTCTTATTTATCTTGTTTTTACTATATATAGAGAAAAAAAATGTATATGTGTGTGCTGTGTGCTTATTGTTCCTTTGTTTGTTACTTAACCTATTTTGTTTATAGGCAGTGTCTGCGCGACCCCCCATGCGGGGACACGTAGCCAAATTGGCATCCATAGGCTATGTGTACCTGCTTCCGGTTTTACAATTGAATAACATTGGATTGGGAATAAAACGTGAAATAAATGCGGAAATTATCGCAATTAGTAAATAAATTGATTACTCACAGATATGAGAAAGGCAGTGTCTGCGCGACCCTGCATGTGGAGACACATAGCCAAATTGGCATCCGTAGGCTACATGTACCAGCTTCCGGTTTTATAATTGAATAACATTGGATTGGGAATAAAGCGTGAGATAAATGTGGAAATTATCGCAATTAGTAAATAAATTGATTACTCAGAGATATGAGAAACGTCCCTGGTTAGTTTTTAAATATGTTTCCTTTAATTATTAACTATATACTTATTGATATAATGGAATTTATGATAGAAAAGTTAAAATGATAATCAAATTAAAAAGCATTACAACATTTTTTGTACAAAGAAGTGAGAAAAACTAAACAAAATAAGTTTAAATTCTTAAAATAAATATATAAATAAAATAGATTATCTATACACATATATATACCACATAACTAATTCAAATTAATTTATTCTTCATACATAGCATTGTTCATTTTAACCTTTGATATGTAAACACCTGAAGTGGTTTATTATATTTCAGGTGCAACCATGGCAACAGTAGTAGTAAGATGCATCCGGAGCTTTGACGGGATGTATAATTATCAAATGCATCTGTTTTAAAAATAAAGATCAAATTCAATATGTATATATTTTTTTATACACATGGAATTTTATCTTATTATACTTGCTTCTTAAATTTTTGTATAAACTCAAGCTTTATGTTTAAAATTTTGGATTCTGTTTTGCATTTTACTAGAAAAAAAATTTTCACACTCGTTTTTACAAGCTTTTTTTTCAAATTCGGTATAATTTTATTCTTCTAAAATGTGCATTTACATTTAATTTCTAATTTTATCATGTTTTAATTTATTCCTTTAATGTGCATCTAATCTGCAATGTTTATTTTGAAATTTTAACTAATAAATAAATTAAAGAATACTATTTGTCATTATTTACACTGAATTCACAAAATTCACAAATTACCGATAATTTCTGTGTATATTTCACCTTATATTCCGATCTGATGACATTTAATTATAAAACCAGATGCTGGTACGCGTAGCCTACAAATGCCAATTTGGCTACTCGCCTTGTTTATATAGTTTAAATAAGTGGTAATTTGGCATGCTAGTCCACATAATGATAATTATGACGTCTTGAAAGGCTTTTTTAATATTTTTCTGTGACACCTTCCTACGACTACAGAGACATGCCTAGTCCAAATAATTATGACGTCTCGCAAGGCTATTTTTTGGCTATGACGCATTCCTGCACAGGAAGGCGTCAAAGCAAAAACAAATAAAATAGCCTTGCAAGACGTTGGACTACAAGTGCCTGTGATCAGACATGTCCGGATGTCAGAAGACTGGGTCAGTGGAGATATGGATTTTTTCATCTTTCTAGTGCATTAGTGAGATTCCCATCTTGTCAGACGCATTTTACTGATTGATTTTGAACCGAATTTCATGTACTGTTAGACATTCTAACATATTTTATGTTTTTGTCACCTTGGCTTCTTGTTTCGTATCATTTGTCATGTTTGGTCATACGATATACCAATACTAAAACCCTGATCATAACGGAAGTGCTATCAAGTAATTTCCGGATTTCTTCTATCATCTTCAGTGTCACACATGCTTTTAATAATTGGATCACAGACAGTGGCGGATTCAAAAAGGGTGGGGAGGGGGTAGGGAGGGGGGGGGGGGGGGGGGGGGGGGCAAATATGTCATTTTTGTAGCACTAAATCGTCCAAAATTATTTCTTCTGTTTTATGAAATCACGCCCCCTTTCAAAAATACTGAATCCGCCCCTGTCAATGAATTAGTCAGTCACCACTGAATCAATGTGCTCAGGGACTTTCTATACTAAGACTGTCCCTGATGTGCTGCATGCATGGTTTATTCTAACCCGACTAATCCAGTCGTTATATTCCGACTCACTATCGATCGCTACATTAGGTTACAATGAAGTAATTATTTACATAGGCGACAATGGTAGCCTTTTTTGGTCCTGCGTTTTCACTATCAAAGATCCATAGAAAAAAATGTCGAATTCTGAATTATCAACACCTTTGGGTGTAATTGAAACTGCAAAACACATATGGTGCCGCAGCTTTTCTGATAGAAAAAAATGCATTTTTTAAGGGTACTCAACGGTTCCGGAATTTTCGAAATAGTATAAATGAAGAACACCCCTTGCTAAATTTGGCACAGAAAATGTTGCTCATCACAGAGAGTTTTCTCTAAATTTCTCGCTATTTCTACACCTATGGCCAACACTCATTTCTCACTATTTCAATTTTGATTTCTAATTACAAGGACAGCAGAAAATAAATTTACTTCTACCTATTATCTTGGATGTAAAATCTAGGTGGCGCCAGTCATCTTTATTTACTTCCTTTTAACCATTAACGCCTGCATGCATTCACCTATAAAATCCTTCAACCGGAAGTTTGAATAACGCTATGAATTGTGGGTATAGAATTAATCAAATTTGGCGCAAAAAAAAGGCGGAGCGAAAAGAATATTTACTCACATGATCAATGGAGCATTCAGACACGTGTTGTGTACATTGTATACGCATGTTTTCAATGTAGAAAATCTTAAAGAGGAACGAAGAAGAAGTGTAGGAAAACAACATAAAGACGTTGATCTCATTAAAACATTAGCCCTCTGTTACGAAGTAGACGAGGTGAAGCTCAGGAATGCAATCGGATATGATGACACAAGTTTTTTCGTTTGCAGTCAGTGTTTTAACAGTTTGAAAGCCACTTATGTGAGTTTAAACAAATGTAGAAACTTATGTGAAAAATTAAAAACATCCACATCAACAAGTTTTATCAATCTGAGAACAAATTTTTCGGTCAGTAGAGAAGAATGTGATGCTGATGATCAGATACATGTAGATACAGAACCACCACTTCCATCTCTAACCCCAGCTTTAGCATGTTTAGGTTCAACAGCAAGGAAGAGGCAACGAAATATTTTCACTCCATCAAAGTCTGGGTGTACACCAAAAGCAAAAAGAAAAGCATCAACAAAGACCCCAAAGAAGAATAGGAGGAGGCTCCAGTTTACATCTACATGCAAACCTCAAGATGAGAAACCAACACCACAAGTTACACAGTCACCTGGTCCTAAAGTTAAGGTAAGACTCCTGAATAAAATAATCCAATATTGTATTTGTTAATCCATAGATATAAGAAGATGTGGTATGAGTGCCAATGAGACAACTCTCCATCCATGTATATTATATATATAATAGTATCTTTTTTCGGTTTCTAGACATGGGTTGTCTCTCCCTAAAATAACATGAACAAAGGTGCTGGTGCATGCTATGCTGTTGAAGATCATGTTTTTCTGTTGAATGATTTTAAGCATACCTGTTAAATATATAAAAATAAGATGTGTAATGATTTCCATGGAGACAAATCTCCGCCAGAGACCAATGGACGTAGAAGTTTTAAAGAAGACCTTACGAAAAGGCATAACCAATGAATTCACCTTGAAATGAAGTCTATATTGTTTCTGATATAATGTAGAATTATGTACCCAAAAAGGATTCTAGACCCTGACCGCCTGACCTGTGTGAAACATAATTGTCTAGGATACTACCAAACAGGGTTAAAAGTTTTGAACAAAAACTATGAGATTCAAGATTAATATTTTAATTTAAATACCCTGTGCATTATGCCTCCAGGGTACATCTTTCATAATTTATATATATACACATATACATTTACAAACACTTCAAACTCACAAAAACTTGTACATTAACAGGTCATCACTTTTTTTACACATAAAATACCTTTTATCAACCCAGACTTTTATTTCATGAAAATAAAACTGAAAATTGTAAAATAAAAGCATATGCTTTTTTATTGCTATTAATAATAATCATTTCAAAAATTTTCCTTCATAAAATATGTCAATTTTACATTTTACTAAATAAAAACAGATATTAGCTATAGCTATATACATGTATAGGTTTCTAGTAAGGTTTATTGCCATATTGGGAAGGTTGAAGACTATATCTTGCAAATGACAATTAAAACTATTAATTATAGCCAGTAATAGACAACTTATTCTGATTGCTGTACAGTTCAAAAGTACATGTACAAAAATAATGAAAACAAAGATGTTATGATACTGCATAAAACCACATTGACATAAATGTACATTTTTGTACATACACAGTTCAATTTATCAACATACTTCCTCAATGAGCAAGAAAATTTCTTTTAGTTCATTGTTCAGCAGCCCTAGGTCAATAATGTCATCTTCACATAACAGATATTTACAATTTGTCACAATACATTCAATTAATGAAGCATCAAAGGCGTTAACATCTTCACTATTTTCTTCAATGAGACATTCTTGGAAGTCCATCAAGTTTGCTTTTAACAGTTTCAATTTACATTCATCAAGATTTCTTACTGAATTGTCATATACATCAGACGGGGGCATCTCAGATGCAAAGTCCATAATGCACTCTAGGGGAACACAACCTCCACATTTGCACGAATTGAAACATACACAGCAACAACGACACAAGTCTGAGTTTGGTTTGTCAGTAGAATCAGAATCAGAGCAAGTGTCAAGCTTAAAATGACTGTTCATCGCATGTCGCAAACAAGATGTGGATTTGCAGAAATCTCTCATTTCAGGACTGGATCTGTCTTTGGCAATATCATGCCCTGTAAAATAAACTATGGACTGACTCTGGCGACCATCTCTTCCTGCACGTCCACACTCCTGGGCAAACTGTTCAAGGCCACGTGGGGCTCCCCAGTGAACCACATAGTCTATATCTGGGATGTCAACTCCCATACCAAACGCCACAGTTACAAAAACTAATCTGAGTTTACTGTTGTTTTTGGGAAATTCCTCTCAAACATGGTCTTTGTTTAATTTTGCAGTTGATCTGTGGTACATCGCAACAAGTCTTTCAGTTATATTATCACACTGATTAATGTTCATGCTGAAATGTTCGTACAAATTTGCACATGTGGCAATATTTCGGCAATACACAACCGTTTTCTTTGCATTAAACTTGTTCTTTACAATATCATCTAATAACCATTGCAGTTCAATGAAATTGTTTCTAGATTTCTTAACTGTGTACATGATGTTTTGTCTGTCTGGTAATTGATATACTGTGGTTACTTCTTTTTCAATCATGTCCAACTTTTTTAATATCTGTGTTCTGATGCTTTTGGTGGCTGTTGCTGTTAATGCAACAAATGTCACATCATCTGGACAAATAGAGCGAAGTTCTCCTAATCTGCTGTACTCCTGACGAAATTCACCACCCCTAAAAAATAAAGCATACATTAGCATACAGTTTAATTCAGTATATTGCGTGGTACATGTATACACTACAATAAGAACAGCAAAAAAAAAGTAATTAATCAGCTATTTGATTAGCAAATATTCCATTTCTTTAGAAAACTTGATCTTCACATATTAAGTTTAAAAGCACTTGTCTAACTGTCTAATGTTAAGAGTTGTTGTAATAATTAATTATGTCAATCAATTGTAACTGATTTGGGAAATAAAAATGTTCTATTCTTTATTTTATTCTGTTGTTTGATTTTCTGTGACTGTCAGACTTGTATCCCCATGTCTCCTTTTATTCTTAATAAATATATTTAACATTTATTCCAGGTTTTAAATGTGACTGTCAAGTTAAATTTGTATGTTCCTAAACAAAACACTTACAAAAATACTCAAACCAACACACACAATCAATTTTGATATAAATAGTGAGGTCCAACTTTCAAATGATACCATTATTAAGTTAGTTTTTGAAAAGATGTAATAATTACTTCTCTTTTAAACTGATATCATAACATACAAAACAATACATACCATTCAGTAATACAATGGGCTTCATCAATAACTACAGCTTTCAAGTTGTCACGAAATACACCACTTGTGAAGCACATTCTCCACATACCAGGGGTCAGTGCAGCTTCAGGAGAGGAAAAAACAATTCCAAAGTCACCCTTCAGAATCTGTGTTGCAACACTTTTATCAGACTGACACTCTCCGACAATCGTCGCATCAATTCCGATTTCTGACATCTTTGCAACCTGGTCTAACATCAAGGATTGCAATGGTGATATTACTAAAATCGTTCCCATCATGTTGTTAAGAAGTCCGTATATCTCTGGCAAGTGAGAGTATATTTTGGTCTTTCCATAGCCTGTCGGAAGAACAATAAAGGTGTGCTTTCCATTTACAATCGAATTTATAGCTTCTATCTGCTTTTCTTTGAATTCAAATGAATATTTTGTCTCGATAACCTGAAGCGCGTTGTTTACATTCATCTTGTTTAAATCTAATTCCGGTAGCCCAATTGCGCAGACTCAAATTGAAGCCTCCTGATTGGTCACCTGATTCACAGGGCAGATGAAGGATTTTTAGCGTATAGTGCGTTCAAGCCCTCGAGAGGACACTGACCGATAGAGGGCGCTGAATCATTCGAGTTAGGTTTATTCACACAGACAGAGACATATAATAGTCTCTGACATCTCTGACATAGTTTATATTATTAATTTAATT